GCAAAGAGAACTAGAAGTCTTCTACAGAGAATCAATATTTACACATTGACTGTCGCGTCGACCGTGTGTGGGATAATTTTAATTATAATGCGGTTAATTTGATTACGATTCGCAAGCGGAAAGAATGTTAAAAAAGTAATTGATGTCATATGCAACATTGCTTCGCAATTTTTATTTAACGCTAGATTTATGGAGCACAACAAACGGCTGTTTTATATTAGTTTATAAAAGTAACAATAAGACATTTATTCTGACATTGTTATTGTAACATTTGCTAGTCAACAATATATAAATTGAATAAATAACTCATAAACGTATCTTTACAATATGAATAAACGTAAATTAAAAAATTAGTGACCCGTTATTTTGACGGATCCCATAAATCTAGTGTTAATCGATTAAAATACTTCGATTTCATGAAATAATTGTATCTTTTGGCGCGGCCGTCAAAGTGTTAACATTAATTATAATATCAATTTTGAGCAGTCTTTGATTACTAGGATTCGATTCTAATATATTAGAATAATATATATTATATATTATTATTATTATTATATATATAATAATAATATAATAATAATATATCTGTCTCTTATACACATCTAGATGTGTATAAGAGACAGATATATTATTATTATATTATTATTATATATATAATAATAATATAATAATAATATATCTGTCTCTTATACACATCTAGATGTGTATAAGAGACAGATATATTATTATTATATTATTATTATATATATAATAATAATATAATAATAATATATCTGTCTCTTATACACATCTAGATGTGTATAAGAGACAGATATATTATTATTATATTATTATTATATATATAATAATAATATAATAATAATATATCTGTCTCTTATACACATCTAGATGTGTATAAGAGACAGATATATTATTATTATATTATTATTATATATATAATAATATATTCTAATATAGCAATAATATTCTTGTCGATCCTAAAGGAGATTCCACCTTTTTGACATAGGAAGGGATGATCTGTCTATATTTGGTTTTCGGATATTATTCTGTGTGGCACGGTGTGTCTGCAGGATTTTTCCGCTGAATATCAGAATGCTTCGTTAATCCGTCTAAAATGATCGTCATTAACGTACCATTAACAGGAGTAATATACTCAGCGTGGCTAACGGTATGCAAATCTGGTTCATTATAATTATCACGTAGTCATCGCCGATGAAAGCAGTAATTCGTCACGGTAATAGTACATACATACAACGACACACGGCAGGCCCGTTAAAACGAGAATGATTCGGCGCCTGGGTTCGTTAACAATAAATGCCGCGGTCCAGAAAAAAAAAGAGCGACTTACATTGTGCTCAAGCGCGCGTTGCATAATTTCCGATGCGTTCTTTCTGCAAAATTCGACCAGCCGCCATCGTGAAACTACGTTAATAATCATAAAAATACACGTCTATGCCATTTGGCGTTTTTTCACGCCTATCGGGAAAGTTCCGTTCGACCATCGGGACACAAAAGAGAAAGAGGATCGATTTTTTAAAAGCCACGAGCAAAACCAGCCCTATTCTCATGATTCATTCAGCCGAATTCGGGAAGCGTTGGAACGGAGGCACACCCTGGTGACTGATAAACCCTGATTTTGATGAAACTTTGCTGATTTAAGAATTTATTCACCCTCTGTTTTGAAAAAGTTTTTTTTCATCTATCGTGAATAGAGGCGTCTACTATTTATAAATCCAACGGTGCACGCGAATGAATAACTATCTAATTCTTCCGAAAAAAATTGTGCACAATTGCTATCTTACAAAATCATTTCCTCACACGTTCTACATAACATCTCCGCAACCACAAGCATCGTGTTATTTTAACGCAATAAATTTCGCTGACATTTGATTGAATATGTATCGCGTATTAATAAATGTTATAGTTAAAACAAAATGATCGATGTAATTCTCAATCGGCGAGAAATGGCGAATCGTTTACCGCGATAAGTGACGTGACACCGGAATCACGCAGCACGTACAAAGCAAAAGATAAAGAAACAGTATTGCGTCCGAATATTAATGAGACTGATCGCGTTATCAAAATGCCGACCGTCGTTAAACCCTAATTTCCGATCAGAGATGGACAGGCAGCGGGGGTGGTGTGGTGTCCAAAAAGGAGGCTGGACGAGCCGTTACACGGCTTAGTTTCCGTTTGAAACGAGGTCGGCGGCGTGAACGTCCTAGCAGATTTCCCACGGGCCCGGCGTTCGAAAGCAGACAAATAGTTTATCTCTGGAAACTGGTCAGCGTCCATGACTGCCAGATTTCCGGCATTTTTTCCGGCCCCTTTCTCTACCGGCTGGTTTCGCGGCGCGGCGCAGCGCGGTGTGGCGTGGCACCGCGTCGAGGTAAATGGAATAGCCTGGTATCAAGGGGAATACCTCGAGCAACGCACGAAATGGTCGACGATTCGAAAGCTTTCAACCCATCGGGGGCTAACCGCGACGCCACTCCTCCGGCTCCTACGCTTCGCTCCCTCGCGCTGAGACTCTTCAGCCCCGTCCTCATCCCCTATCCTCATCCGCGTCCTCAGCCCCGTCCTCGCCAACCCGTTCGCCGGGCCGCAGGATAATGGCGATCGTCATTTAGCCACTTCCGGTGGTTCGATAACGTTGCGCGATTTACATGAGAATCTTCCTCTGGAATTTCCAGGAGATTGCGTGCCACCAGAGCAGAGAGACCGACTCTCTCTCTCTCTGTGCCTCCATCGGTTTTTCCACCCTTGTTTATTTCCATCTCTGCTGTTGCGTCCGTCGGGCCCTCTTGTCGGGGATTACCCGATCGCGTGCTACCCACGGCTAACGTTTCTGGTCACAATAACTTTGTTCGGGAGCTAGTCACATGTCCCGTCTACCCGACGCGTTTTGTAAATTCAAGTAGACGCCGCAAATGCTTCGGCAATCAATCCTGCGGCTGCTAGAAAGAACGCCGCGTGTCACGTGTTTTCACTTCCGAGATATATTCGCTTAACGTTCCGATCGCTAATGTATTATTGATGTTTTAAATTGCATCATGTTTTTCAGATTTTATTTTTACGATGTTTCTTTTAATGCACGTGAATCCTATATGCTACGGTTCAATCAATGCAATAACTTAACACGTTCCGTGCCACGTGCACCGCCGATGGTACATGCTTACATGTTTATCTAATAGAAAAAAAAATAGTACATAACAAATTTAGTAGTGAATTATTATTATAATAATATATTATATAATAATATATTATAATTATTGTATAATAATATATTATAATCATTATTATTTAGAATTTCCACTGCAAGGATGGGTCATAATAAGTTCGTTTCATTGTTATGTATACGATAATTAATAATTACATATAATATATATATATAATATCAATAAATCTTGACACGCCGTGTCTTTATGTACAGCCACAGAATTGTCCGTTGAGACATCCTCGAGTTATTTCTTTTATCTATTTGTGTACCTTCGTTACATGTTTACATTAAACTATACGTTCTTGTCCTTCGGTCTAATTATAATTCATCGCGAACAAATTCGTTTCCGTTAAGGCCCGACAAACTTTGTCAACAAAGGACAGCGTTTCGATGTCGTTGACTTTAATATGTAACGGTCGACGTGTTTAATTTATTTTGTACGGAGACAACGACTGTTAGAACCAAAACGAGGACAAATTTAAATATCTTAATTAATTTCTGATTAAAATGATTTTAGTTGCTAATTAATGATTATAAATGACTAGAATTTTATTAGTTATCGATAACCATTGTTTCCGTCATTATAGTTACAAATTGGTTGACGAATATTGTTTTTGTTACATGACCGCTGTCTATGCGTTTTTTTTCCTATCAAATATTTGACACAACTGTCATTTTTGTTCTCCGATTTTGTTACGATTTTTTATTGGCACAGCTGTTTATAAAATGTTTGTTCAGAACACTTAATGCAGTTGTTCTGTAGCTGTTTTATTCTGGCCGGAGTTCGCTCCTGTCATCGGTGGTTTTAAATCGTTTTTTTCTGGCCCCCGGGATTTGGTAATGGATTTAGATCGAGGACCGAGGCGACAACCCTTCCTGTAGGGCTGTTGCACGAAGTGGTTGTTCTTAATCCGAGAAGACTAAGTCTTGAGACTAACAAGGGCTGCTTCAGACACGGTCCCCTACAATTTCAATAAAATTCGATGGTGGGGTTGTATCAGCGATCAATGTTCTTGCTTTTAAACTGATGTTTCCCTTTCCAAATTCATATGGGAAGTACTCCTTAAAAATCGAAGCATTTTTCTTCGAGGTAAGGATCGAATTTATTTTCGAAATTAAACGACTATATCCTAAATCACAGTGTCTCGTGAAAGTATTCGAACACCTTTTAAAACCGAATAGCGTTTTAAAAATTCGACAAATTACTTGGATCTTTTTTGGATGTTAGAACGTTAGAAAATAGAAATAGACACTAAGAAATAAACATAAGAAATAAACACTAACACCGTAGACGAGAAATGTAGGAATAGACCAACGTATAATTTATTTACAAATTGTTTGAATTTCTTTTTTTAGACCTTGAAGAGGCCACTTTAATAGGCGATGTCTAAGAAATTTTTTTCAAAGATTGTATAATTAGTAGACTGCGGATTTTATGCATTTATGAGGAACCAATTAAAGAATTAAAAACTACAATTATATTGTTTTTCGATTCGTTAAAATCATCGAGAACAAGAAATATGCGTGTAATTAAATTCTTTAATTGATTGCTCTGCTTTTCATTCGCTTCACTTAGTTTACCCATAAATACGTTAAATCCGCAGTCGACTCTAATTATACAATCTTTGAAAAAAATTTCTTAGACGTCGCCTATTAAAGTGGCCTCTTCAAGGTCTAAAAAAAAATTCGAACAATTTGTAAATAAATTATACGTTGGTCTATTCCTACACTTCTCGTCTACGGTGTTGGTGTTTATTTCTTTCTCCGCTCGCAGTTCGTCGGTAAACCAGCTCGAAAGCCGTTAAGTATAACGGTTGTCGTGAGATGGCACGATCACCGTTTAAATTTGACTTGCTTGTAGGTGACGCGTGCGCATGTCGGAAAGTAACTCTGTCAGTTAGTTGGTGGCGTCGCGTAACCGTGGAACAGTGCTGGTGTAATAATGCTGCTTGATATATGATTATTTATTGTTTCCGAGAGCGTAAATAAATAGCCGGTGTGGTATGATGTAGTAACAGGAGTTCGGATCTCCATGGTTGTTCGATATTCGAGTTAGTCGTTATGGCGAACTACGTAGTTCCGATGAACGAAGAGGTTAAGAACAGAATAAGCTGCTTGAGCTGCTGGGTCAAGTCCGAGAACCCGGACACGGTTGTCACATGTAAACCGTCGCGCGATATTATAATTTACCATGACTTTAATCTTTGTTGCCGGTCATCGCACTCCACTACTCTTCACAGTTGGAATTTTCGAATTGTGGCGCACGGTAAGTCCTCTTATGGGTCACTGTATTATTTTGTTTATATCTTGTGTAATTTGTAAAATGCATTCCTACTCGACCAACTGAACAACATATACAGCAGGCGCAACCAATGTTGCGCTCAAACATTGTTGACTCAGTTTGCAAATTGCTTTACCTAGTTTCCTTTGTCACCGAAGGAACATCGTTGCATAATGATCGTGGACACGGTGGTCTTTCCTTTATCTAGGTAAAACGTTACATAAAGTAACATTGTCGTTGAACCGGCATCAACAGAACTTTTTCCTGCAATCCGTGACTGATATAGCTGGTGGTATGCTCGGAACATGCGATGGTCAAACATGGTATGCCACCACATCGGAGAACTCTCCTGAAAGTACCAAAGAATATTATGTAAAAATTGGTTTCATGGCTAACCAGTTCGGCACCTATAGACAGAACGTTATCTTTTATTTCGGAGAGTATCCTGTTGTACTTCAGAGACTGTGCATGGATTGTGCGCCATTCGATGATTTCGTGAGAATAGATAATGCCACGAGCTACCAGTTCTCCCAGACCCCGAAGAGCCTGTTCACCAATCCTGTGCAATTACACAGATTCGAGTCGCCATTCGTGCCGCAGAGAGATCCTAAAGAAGATCAACTCTCCAAGATATACCCTTTCCCTGATAAAAGCAACTTTTTCTTAACTCAAGAGACCCTTACGGACAAGCATCTGACACCAGAGAATTACAGGGGCCGTCTTCATGAGTTAATTACCATAGAAGAGATAGCCAGGCACGAACAGATAGCCAGATACAATGTAATTGCGCACATGCACCTCGTTTCTTATTACATTTTGAGTTCCTTGGGCGACGCGTCCACGATAGCTAAATACGCAGCTCCCGGTGAGCTCTTCGGTCAGGTGAGACAACCATTAGCAGTTATATCATTCTAATCTTCACTATGCTCTCCTCGTAAAAGCTTCAACGCTCGGTCTACTTCTATAGTCTAACCAAAAGGCCGAAAGATTGACCCTGCATTTTTATCGCAGCTACCGTTAAACCGCAATATCTCAGAGGATACGAAAAGCGGCCGACTGTTCCTAAGAAGTTGCAACACGGTGTTGTTCAAGTGCTTAGCGGAGAACTACGAGTTTTCAGCAATCTACGAGGCTTACATAGAGGACAAGTGTGCTCAGAACGTATACGTCAGACTCTCGAAAGATTGTGTGAAAGATTTGAACTTGCACGCGAACATGGAGCTGATGGTGCGGGTGCAATTCGTTCTGAATCGTTTGCCCTTCTGCGAATGGCACAGGGCGGTGGACAGCCTGCCGGACGTAGGGCTAGTCTTCTTAAGCAAGGAGCAAGTAGAGCTGAATACGGACAACATCGTTCAGCAGTTGCAGACTAGCATGAACGCGTTGACCGAAGACTGGAAATGGTTATTGATGGAGATGATGCTAAATACGGAGCAGAAGAGGGCCTTGGCCATCATGACGGCTCCCGCGGAGATATCCATGCCGCCTCTGTTGTTGCTGGGCCCATTTGGAACTGGGAAGACTTACACTATAGCCGAGGCACTCTGCATCCTGCTCGTGAAAAGCCCCGACAACAAGATCCTCCTCTGCACCCACAGCAACAGCGCCGCGGATCTATACGTGAAGGAGTTTTTCGACAACTGGTACAAGACGAAAAACTGTCCCCGTCTTAGGCCAGTTAGGATCTACTATAAAGGTCGAGCCAAGAACACGGTACGTCCTCCAGAATCATGAGATCATTAGACGACGCTGCTTTCCTTTCATCCGCACGATTTCAGGTGCATCCGGTGGTCCTCGAGTACAGCTTGATGAAGACCAACGGTACCTTCCGCGACCCGACCGAAGAGGACCTAAGGGAATGCAATCTGGTCGTGACCACCTTGGCCACCGCCAGTTCCTTAATCCACCTGAACCTCAGATTTAGCCACATAGTGATCGACGAGGCCGCTCAGGCGCTCGAGTGCGAGATTCTGATACCTTTGTCCATGGCCACCCCGCAGACACGTTTGATCTTCGCCGGAGATCAGATGCAACTCGCCCCCGAGATCTACAGCAACTTGGCCAGCGAAAGGGGTCTCGGCGTGAGCTTGCTCGAGAGGATCTATACAATGTACCCGCAGACCCATCCTTGTAGAATACACCTTTGTCAGAATTACCGCTCTCACAACGACATCATTAAATTCACCTCCGAATTGTTTTACGACGGCATCGTGCACCCCGGTAACAATCTGCTGCTGCAACACCCTACGATGGATCCTTTGACCTTCTTCGCTGTCACGGGTAGCGAGATGCCGGTAGGTTGATTTTTTATCTTCCCTATTGCTTATAATTGAAGCTTCAACTAATAATTCCATGGAAGCTTAAGCCACTTTGCACGTTCGTATTTTTTCATATTTATTTTGTCCTATTTCTGTAGATTTCGATAGCTTTAGGCCTCTTTTTAACAGCAGAAAAACAGTCCCCAGAGTCCGCAGACTTTAGAGGCTGCTAAAAGTATTATTAATTGTATTCGTATTGAAATAAAAAAAAAATACCCGATAAATCTTAAATCGAAGTTTAAATCGACTTTAGCTAAAATTAAACCCGCGCGATATCTACTCAATCATACATTAGAGATTACGAGCAGCATGCCGTGCTATTTGTTGTAGGGAACACTGAGGGGTAGCGCTTCTAGGCGACTTTGAGCAGTCAATCGATTCCATTTCTCTGAAACAAGGGAATACTGTTAACGAGATTCTCTAACCGGTCGCCAAACGTTCCCTATTCACTCGGCTATACAACCTTCACAATAATTCAACTATCTCCTGTCACCGAATGAATTCGAATGCTTCGTCTGAAAGGGCTTCCCCGGGTGTCGCAAAATACCTCTTAGGCGCCGTGATTTCAATTCCAGTCGTAGGTGTGCTCGACGGCTTAGCGTTCTCAATTATTATTCCTCCAGAATACTTAAATTGAGAACTGTACGTGTCTAGTTTAGTTATCCGAGAACTATGAAATCATATAAAACTTTTTAGACACTTCCCACCCCCGATATACGATTTTCTTACATTTATCGATGTCTTTAAATTCGATTTGTTTCTCAGATGAAAAATAAAATTCAGATCTATTACATTTTTTTTTATAGAAATAAGCGTTTAAGATATTCGTAGACACCTAATATTAACATCAGCATGTGAAGAAACCGTGTTAACGCTTTACTACTATTGTCAGACCGCTACTAATTACTTATTCATCTTTTAATACACTTGCTTCTAGTCACTCGGACTTAGATTCCTTCATTGTTGACGTGCAAAGTAAAAACAATTGATACTAATTTTTGATTTAACATTTTTACGTCAATGATAACGCGATAAACATTAACGTTCTACCAGACCGCTAATAGTGGTTACGTAAGTTTTCATAGGTATAATAATAAAGGGTTGAATTGATCCAACATCGAAGACTCAAGTGTCGATCATCCTCAATAAGAACCTTCCCCGGTCTCCAACTTCTGATCTCGACCGACTTTGTCGACAGGACGAGCAATCAACGGGCTACGCTCATCCAGGGGAGGTGAACGAGATTGTGAACCGCGTCTTGCAGCTGAAGAGCAGCTGGCCGACGAGTCGATGGGGTGCATACGGCGAGGGTTCGATCGGCGTGCTAGCCTGCTACGCCGAACAGGTGCAAATGATACGTACGAAGCTGCGGAAGCACAAGCTCGCGGAGGTGTCGGTCGAAAGAGTGCTGAACGTCCAAGGGAAGCAGTTCACTGCGGTGTTCATCAGCACCGTTAGGAGCAGATCCTGCTGTAGATACTCCGCGGAGAAGAACATGAAGGACTACGGGTTCCTGACGAACCCGAGGCTCCTCAACACAGCCATCACGCGTGCCAAGTGTCTCGTGGCTGTGGTCGGTGATCCAGTGGCGTTGCTCACCGTTGGATCCTGCCGGAAGCTATGGCAGAGGTATCTGGAGGTGGCTGATCTCCATGGGATCGACCACGAGACCCTCAAGTACCATCTCAGAATGATCCCGGAGCTGCCGAGGACCACGCCGCTAAACCCGTTGGCCAAGGAGTTCGTGCCCAGAAACCTGCAGACCTGCTGCTCGATCGATTACGTTCCGGTGTTGATGAAGTATCCGGTCGTTCATTGCCGCGTTCTATGGAAGTAGTTCTTGTTCTTTCACAAGTATTCATTATTGGTTTTAACTGATATTTTAATTGATTTGACTTCTCGCAAACAGAGTATCTTGCGTACGCTGCGTATTTTTATCTCGATAATAGAATATTTTCCTTTTAATGTTCGATGTAGCAATGTTCGGATTTTTAATTTTATAATTTGTTGAGATCGTAGACCCGATCTTTTGTTGTTTTTAGGGGGGTAACATGCAATGTCAAGGCCAGTTTTAGAGCTATCGTTCTACTGTTGGTAATTATTATTAGGTTTTCGCGGTACAATCGTAAGATACTCGGACGAACATTATCCTTTATTTTGGAAGTGGATTTTTACTTGATTTTTACCCCTTTTCGTTGGTTTTGTGACGAAATAGCGTAACGATAAAACGCGTTGCGATTAGGGAACTTCTGTTTTGCTGAATGTTCTTTTGATCGAATTAGATTTGTTTTGGGGCATTGTAGAATTTGTGTTTGGGCTCTCGATGTTTTTTCGGGACGGTGCTCTGTGTTTTTCGTAGACCGTTGTCGAGCGACTCGATGCATGAGGTGACCGAAAATGCGGTGGTTTTATATTTTTCGGTTATGACTTTTGGTGTGACCGTAATCGATCGAAAGGTCGCCTTCGTGTTGCTGCTCGTGTTTGTGTCCATAGTTATTCTATGTTGATCTTCGGGAACGTATAGAGCGCCGTTTTCGAAAAGACGTTCGGGATAGTTGTACGATTCGTTCCAACGATGATACTTTACGTTTTACGTGATAATGACGTAATTGAACGAGAATTTTCGCCGCTTCCTTCTTTTCCAGTTATCATGCTTTCAATCGATATTGAACTCCAATTTATTGTACAGATATCTATATATGTATAGTATATATATACACAACACTCACACACACAGATCTATTATGACTCTATTTTTTATTTCGTCGACCAATCCTCGTCCGGCGAACGTTGGATCGTCTCGATCGATTCCTCGAGATGTATATTTACACTGATTATTCTTAGACTGTCCGTTTTATGCATCGATAGCACCGGTTGATAAAAATGCAATTAAATAAACGCTGAAACATCGACGAACCCTCTTATCTTTTTTTTTTACCTCCGGCTATAGCTGTAAGACGGAAAATAAAATTCCGATGGTTGTCACGGCACTCGGGGCCAAGATGCATTTATCGAACAGTTGCTTTTCATACGCTGCTTTCTGCATTTCAATCTGGGGGAGGGGGGAGGGTGGGGGTGCGGTAAACACGAATTCGATCGACTGAGTTGCAAATCGACGGTCGAATTTTCAACGAACGTCAAGCAAGATAAAATTTCAATCGGTTCATTAATTCGAGCATACATTGAACCCTGTTACGATACACACCGTGTTGCTATTAACGTATAAGATCCGCAGTCTAATCGCGAGTCGGAATGATCCGCGTCCGCCGCTCGACGACCGAATCTCTTATCGTAGTCCAGAGTCTCTTCACAAATATAAATCCTACTACTCTTCGTTGTATAGACAAGATTTTATGATAATCTATTTTGTATATGGATAAAATACAGACGATATACACGTACGCGTACACCGATTTCTTTTTCATCGAAGTACGACTGTATAGAGGAGCCAACGCTTCCACCTGTGTGCTCTCGCATTTTTATGAAAGCCTCAGAAATAAAGGAAACGTCTGCACCTTAACATTCTTCTCCCGTCCGTCTGCTCTCTCTCTCTCTTTCTCTCTCTCTCTCTCTTTCTTTCTCTCTCTCTCTCTCTCTCTCTCTCTCTCATTCGTCGACGGTCGGAATGTAGTCAAATGATCGCCGACGAGCCCCGCGAATTGCTCTGGGACTTTTCATTTTCTTTCTTTCCTTTTTATTTCCGTGAAAAGCAAAAAAGTGACGGCGCGACACTTCTGAAAAGCCNATCGCGAGTCGGAATGATCCGCGTCCGCCGCTCGACGACCGAATCTCTTATCGTAGTCCAGAGTCTCTTCACAAATATAAATCCTACTACTCTTCGTTGTATAGACAAGATTTTATGATAATCTATTTTGTATATGGATAAAATACAGACGATATACACGTACGCGTACACCGATTTCTTTTTCATCGAAGTACGACTGTATAGAGGAGCCAACGCTTCCACCTGTGTGCTCTCGCATTTTTATGAAAGCCTCAGAAATAAAGGAAACGTCTGCACCTTAACATTCTTCTCCCGTCCGTCTGCTCTCTCTCTCTCTTTCTCTCTCTCTCTCTCTTTCTTTCTCTCTCTCTCTCTCTCTCTCTCTCTCTCTCATTCGTCGACGGTCGGAATGTAGTCAAATGATCGCCGACGAGCCCCGCGAATTGCTCTGGGACTTTTCATTTTCTTTCTTTCCTTTTTATTTCCGTGAAAAGCAAAAAAGTGACGGCGCGACACTTCTGAAAAGCCGCCGCGGCGCCATCGAATGAATGCGACCGACGAACCAACGAACAAACCCGCCCTCGTGCTCTTTTATTTCTATAATTAAGAACCACCTGGCTCGCCAACCGTCTTAGAAATAGAATCAAACGAGTCCACCGGGTTGTGGGCTCGCGACGCTATGGGGAGAATGATCGATTCGCGAATATTCAAACTGCAAACGTAGTTAAACTGGACGGAATATTTCTTTTCGCGGATCCACCCGTCCTGGAAAATTCTTGAGCCGCCCCTGACATATGATGCTGTACGATCGTATCGCGGGATAAATTCTTTTCACGACCCAGTGCTAATATTTCTAAATGCAATTTAAATTGACACATCGAGTCTCGCGTCGTTCACATGCGGCTGAATAGCGGATTTTAGCTAGAAATTTATTTTTGTTCTGATATATTGAATGAAACGAATATTTCTTATATTATAGTAAATTTCTTATAGTAAATTTTAACTTTCTAGTTTCAGTTTAGTTTGCGCTGAATATACCGAGCTCTAACAGTGACTTGTGCCGCTTCATAAGAATGTCAAGATTGAATTTATTCATAAAAGAAAAGAGCGTAGATTGTTTCATGAAAGAGTTTTCATAATTTTAATAATTTGATAATTAAACATTTATGCGTTTATGACAGACGCGAATAGCTGAAATATGAAAACATGAAGAAATCAGAAGAATTGAATAATATTGTTACACTGCTTTCAACGTCCAAAAATTATTAAAAGATATAATTTATCTTTATTTAATTTCTGTTTCTTACAATCGTCTTGAAAAATATTTCCTTTCCATAAAGATCGATTATCAATAATTAATTAATTAAGTAAGTAAAAGTGATATAAAGTATTGATAACAATAGGCTTACCGTTCATTAACTGTCTCTGATATTGTGGGAATTTTTGCCGTTGATATTCGGCACTTAACGCGTTACTGTGGCAGTAGAATTAATTTTAAAATTCGTAGAAATAATTCTAGATACACATATAAGTCGAGTTAAAAGCGAAGTAATCGATAATGGCGGACACATTCGAGTGAGTCCAGTCTCTTGTTCGGCAATTTAGGGTTTTTTCGTAGGAAGGTAAATCATCGGCACGGCGACCATTAGCTAATCGTCCTTCGTTATCGGGAAACTTTCTTAATTTTCCCTGAAATATTACGATTCCGTGGGGGGTGGGTCTTTTTTTCTGGCGGGACCGTTTGCGGTCGTATATTATTGTCCTCGAACCGCAGAGATTACGGGCGGGACGATTTTTATGGGACGGTATATAAAAGGTTGAGAATAAAATGGCAGAAGTAAGGTATTAGGGTGGTACCGTGACAAGATGGGCCGAGCGAATGGGCACTCCCGGTTGAACTCGATTTTCCACTAACAAGGGGTATATCGCCGGAGGCATCGACGGGATTCCAGCAATATTCTTGCCTCGGCTCCCGTCGATGCGACGGGACGACGTCGTTCGGGCGACCCTCCGGAATTTATAGTGGGTAGTCCCATACTGGGACATTGTAAGTTTTTAATTCGAGCCTGTTACTCCATTAACCCTTTGCACTCGAAGATATTCGTGCTCCGGGGACTCTAGGGACTCTAGTTCTTACGACCTTGCAGATTTATATTCTTCCCCTATTTTTATTCCCTTTTTGCACAGATAATTGAACACTCGTGACACACTTCAATTTTTAGGTTTTTAAATAAAGTTGAGTACTGTGAAAACTGTTTGAAATTAAAGTATGATAAATTTTATTGGCACCTCAGTGTCGCCATTCGAGCGCAACGTGAATAAATAATTCATTAGATACGAACAAATTCAATGCTGTATGATTTTTCTCTTTTTATAAAATTCATTATTTTTGCTGATTCAACACTTGCATTTTAATTCATTCATTCAATACGAACAAATTTAATAATATAGAGATGCTTTTGAAAAATGGTACGGCAGTTTTTAGAGCCGCTATTCGACTGCAAGGGGTTAACTTTGTTTTCTACCGCAGGTATAATTCCATTTTTGTTCATCTTTAATTTTGATATTTAATTGTTTAATGCTAGATGAGAACTCGGCAACGCGTGACGTATGCTAAATGGAAACTTCTGCAATAACTACCAGACTGAAGATTTTATACATTTATAATAGAACTATTTACACAAATATTTGTAACAAAGATCGAATGCGAAATACCGAATCGATTTAAAGAATTCGAAACTAGAGTGTTCTATCTTTTTCAACTTATTATAATCATTGAGACAAGAAATATAAATGTGTATGCGCTTCTCTGTCTTGCAACGATTACAGACTATTTTTATTTCCCATAAAGATCCGCGGTCTACCAATTACAACATCTTTGTCGTTAATAAATTTTTAATAAATTCTCACAAAATCAGAAGAATTTACATTTCCCGCGTGCCTGCATTAATTCCAATCAAATATTGACAAAGTAAAATGAAGTCGTATTCCGACTTGAAATACAGACGCACAAGGTCAGAGCGCAATAAATACCGTTCTGTTGTTTCAAGCACGTGGGCTGGTTTATTTCCGAAAAAAGAGAAGCACGCTAATAATTACTCCGAAAACTCCTTTCAATATCGCAATGCGCAGGTAGGTCGCGATACACGTGTTTCGAACACGATTTTCCGCGTTTCCGAGACAGAATTATTTTCGTCCCGTTTCAATCATCTCCCCTTGCGTCACGTTCCCAGCTGCAGCTCGCGTTGCAGCCCGCGCAACGTTATTCTCTCGTTATTGTCATTATCGTGGACGATCGTCTGCTAGCAGCACGTGTAACGACGCGTGACTCGGATAGATACGGGGTCGTCGCGTTCGCATCGAACAATATCGAAAACACTTGATAGAACGCGGAGATACGCAACAGGGCTTCCGCCGCGAACGGGTGCGCGATCTAACTATACTAATGGCTGGCGCATCCCTCGAAGAAGATGTACAACCGTTGCCTCCGGGGGGAGTAGTCACGGAAACCCGCGGGTTCCGTCGTTCCCAGTCAATACCTGGGGCAAACCGGGAGATATTATATGGTCGCATTAGCGTTTTCAGTCGCGTATCGTCCTTTCTTATTGCGCCGTGGCCGGAAAGTTATACCGGCGACATTACACTCGTCCCGCCATCCATATTTATATCGAGGGAGGGAAAACGGGTCGCGATATATATTGTGTCCGCAGCTGCAATAGTACCGTGATTTCTGGCCCGTGAAAGACGCGAGGGATGCCGCCGCTCCGTTCCATATCGTTCCGACCACCCTATTTCTCCCTTTAAAGAGGTAACTCGGCTTTACCCGCCGCGGACGTTTCATTGTCTTACAAGGTGTGATCGTACACGTGGGCTCGCCGATTCTGACACCACAACCACCGAACCAGTTAAAATAACAATATTTGTACGGGAAATGTTTTTAATAAACTTCCTCGTTGCAGCACATTTTAACGAAAATTTTTGTACCGATTCTGGAGACAAATTAATTTTATTTATTTTATTCTCAACCTTTTATATACCGTCCCATAAAAATCGTCCCGCCCGTAATCTCTAACGGTTCGAGGACAATAATATACGACCGCAAACGATCCCGCCAGAAAAAAAGACCCACCCCCCACGGAATCGTAATATTTCAGGGAAAATTATTTTTATGTGAAAATATTCGACGTATATTTTTTCGATTTGTTCACAACAATTCGCAACAATTTTTGCACGGATAATCGAAGCTGGTTGTTTCACCGCAGTGGAAACAGCTACATCGACGTATCTCAATTTTTCCGTTCGCCCGTTCGAAATTCAACGCGGCGAGAAATCGGCTCTTTGACCACCGTTCGACGGTTTTTTTATTCGCAAAACGGTTTCACCGAGCAAACACGTTTTTATTTGAGATGATCGCGGACGAATTAATCGGCACACACCTAATATTTGCTTGAACATCCGGCGGGTTATTTCTATCGTTTGGCAAGCAATCATCGACGATTCTCGAAGTATCCATCGGGTTTTCACGGCCATAAATACCAGCCTCGAAATCCGGCGGACCCTTTTGTACCCTTTAATGTATCGTATTAGGGAACGCCGGGTTGCAGCCGGCCCGCCATTTCCGGCACCGCGGTATAACGATGCATATCCTCCGCCGTTGCGGAATATTGCTACAATAATTTTCGTGGCTCGTTGCTTCGACATTTTCCAACGGCGATTCTGCTCCTACGCCCACGCCGACCCTGCAACCCTCCGCGGAGCCCCTTCAACCCCCCGTGGCACACGCAATGTATCGCCGT